GCTGTCCATCGCCTCCTATTCACTATTCCAACCCTGGGGGGGGGGGGAGGGTATGGTATTATGAGTGTCGCGGTCAGTGAGAGACTCTATATCAAACCGGAGTAATACACATTCGGATATGTGGATCAGGTTTGTGGCACGCGACACCAGAAAAATGAGCCTCTAATGATTCCATTTCACTCACATTAACTAGTATGAATAATGCACTCATTAGTTGGAAAAACGACTGATACAGTCCAAGGCGTGTTACAAATTCCAATCATCAGACACAATAAATTGTGGACCAGGCGGAATTACGCCCACTTTATTAATTTCGTAACTGTTCACTTATTCAGCTATTCAATCATACCCACCAAATATTGTGCGATGAAATCCGTACGATTGACAGATAGCACTGTTATAATCCAAGGATTATCTATTCTATAAAATCATATGCACCCGTGACGAAACTTTTAATGCAGATTGCGAGAAGACAATAAATCTTTTAGCAGCTTGTATTGGAATTCATCGAAACCGCATAGACAAACTGAACTTTATTTAATATACCGCTAATGTTACTTTTTTTCTTCCCACATATATTGCCCTTAACTGCTGTGTCTTATATCTCATCCCATTGCTTTCAGTTTAATACCATCGGTAGCACCATGAATCTGCTTGCTAAACGACCGTCTCGGGTTAAAAGTGGTCCGATGGAGCTGGACTCCGTCTCGGATGAGGCTGGTTCAATCAATCACTGGCCGAAGTATATGAGCGGTACACTTGATCGATTNCATGTATACAGTCCCCCCGCACGTGCCAACACACACCGGACCCGTGGTAGACTGGATTCGTCTCAACGAAGCCTGTTCCAAGACACGAGTGCACGAATCTGTTTGGCCCGCGGCGTCAGTATGGACAGCGGCGAGTATCCGTCTGTGACCGTGGAAAGCAATTACCCCAGTCCACCTATTGATGAGTTGTGTTCCAATGAAGCGTTGTGTAACGCTAAAACTGAACAGCCGGTATCTACCGTGACCAGTATTCACGGACTTCGCCCGGGAAGTACAACACCTCCGCTCACAATGTAAGGAAGGCAGCTCAGAAGAGACTAAATCTCATAGGTTTTTTGTTTCTATATTCAAAACCAAGACAAAATATTTTTCTATTTTCTTTAGTTTGACATTATAGTCTTTTGAACGAGTATAATGGATAACACAGTTACGCTTTTTAGGCTTCTGCACGAATTTATTTGTATACGATATGGAATCATGCTTGGTACAGAAATGACCGTGAATGAATTTGCTGGTTTTCAGACTTAATTTAGCTCTTCACATTGGTTCATACTTGGGGATTTTTACTTTTTGAATTATTCTTCTGTTCTAATGAGAACCTAGGTTTTCACCTCTCCTGTTTGACTCACTCTAGGCCCTGTACAAATAACCGAGGAGAACTTAAGAAGTGTGGAAAGTACGCTCACGTGACTATTCAAGATTTATGCTATCCACGGAGACTGTGGTATTTACAACGATTCCGATTGGCTAGTTCCCGCAGTTCTTTAGCCAAATCCAGATTGTGGCATGGATTCAAGCGAAGCTCCTTTGAAGAAACTCGACCATCAGATAGCAGTCCGATTCATCTGACGAAGAAGATTTGCACATCGGTTCGCCTGACACAAGTAGAGCCTGTGGGTGACGCAACCGGTTGCGCACAGTTTGGTCACTCCTTCGAAGGGGATTCGATCACGTCGGATCTGGTGACCTTGGGCATAAAACCGAACAAATATGATGTCGAAAAATCGCAAGACTCGTCGGTGCAAACCAACCAATCGGAATCGGCATTCGGTGGCGCTGCACCGAATCCCGTATTTCAGGGTACAAACGGTCGAGCACTGACGAGTTGCCGGCGGATACATGGTCCAGGAGTACGTGATGGACTGAACCAGTTTGATTCGACCGCCAGTCTGATGGTAAATGATGAATCGCCTTTTGATGAGCACAGGGTCAAAACTGAAGGAGGAACGGTTTACGGCGATTCGCGATGTCTATTCTCTCACACTACCACAATGAGCGAGGACATTCCAGTGGCAGAGTTTCCGTCAGATGAAGTGAGTTGTTGAATGGGCCTAAACATTGCTGACATATGCATTACCCGATACCTCTAGTGGTGGACAGTAGGATAACCAACTAATCGGAATGTTCAGCCTATTTAAAGCCTTGAAATCCTTCCATAAACCTACTCGTTGCATTGCACTATTGATGAGCTCTTATAAGAGCAAGATTCTAGCCTAGTGCTTCCAGGAGTGTAGGGTTGACTGGATGAACTGAGGATTGTGCGTGAAGATGAAGTCTGAAGGATGATCAGTCCACACCAATATGGCTCATCCCACAACACTACTCACAAGTAACGACTCTTCTTATTCCTTGACAATATTTTTCATAGATTTGTTCGCCGGATACTCCTTCTCCTATGAATTTCTATTTCTATTTAATGTCAATATCTATCAATCCCTATTTCAGTCCCATCTCTGTGATATTTTTAATGATAAATATCATTTTGTTCCAAAATAAAATAGCACTATGTCTTATTTGAGCGACATCATAGTAAATGTCACTGTGAACGTATCAGAATAGCGCAATTTTTATTGCTTTAAGGGATTTATGTAACTCTGTCAACGCAATCCCACTTCATTTCCTTTTTTTCGATTGGTTTTACTTCTAATCAAACAGCCGCCAGTAGAAGACATCAATCGGAGCGACAGTTCCAACCATCGCACCCCACACAGCTCAACAACGGCAGTTTTCAGTCGACACGTGGTTTCAACCTCCCCGACTCAAGAATACGTTTATCGGTGTCCATTAAACAACGGTTCCAGAGATTGATATTCTTTCAAGATGTAATTTTCTTCTCAGATATCGGAAAGACAAACCAGGGATATTCAATTTCCTTCATTGTCCGTCCGCAATCTCTCTCTGTCCCTCTCAAAGGCTGCCACCCGGATCCATCTGATCGATTCAAGCGTGGCAAATGAACCACGCAAAGTGTCGCCGTCTAGTTGGCTGCAAGAAGCGAGAAAGAGCATTCGCGTGTGCTCTTAACCGTTTCTCTCTCTCTTATCCATATTACAAGAAATCAGATAGAGAATAGTTTCATTTAACGCACGGTTTTTTTCTTCCTCTTGAAATTCATAAACAGTGTGTACTTTAAACATTATTCTAATTTTCACTATAATGTACATCCTATTTTTCTCCACTAGACTTGTGCAATACAGAACGCAACCAGTGCACAGCCGATCGTCAATCGAAATTCGTTCCCGCCAAAGGCTAGTGCCTTCCTCATCAAAGACAAACATTCACGATGCCCCCTGTTTCTCATATCGGTTCACTTATTGATTTACACACACACACAGGATGTGCGTGCGTGTGTGTATGATTGCCTAACACACGGAACACAAACCGTACGGCGTGACCCTTTTTGGCCCCGCCCCCCTCGGCAGTTTCCTTCTCATTTTCAATACATTTATTCCACTGCCCATGTTTACGGGCCCCGGACGGTAGCACAATAAGCCAACGCAATAAGCTCACGCACATGCTTCTCCAACACGATTGTCCCAGAGCCGAAGGAACGTGTAGATGCCACACACGCACAAACACAAACACACTGTACCATCTCTATGCATTCGTCCGAATGCAAAATTGTATAATCTCATCAGCATTATCATCCTCGCCACTCGTACGCACGGGAATATATACGAAAGTGCGCTCGAACATTTATTCTGACACGATTTTTCGGACCGCGATAGTTGTCAATCACAGTGTTCGGGGGAAGATCGAGATTCGCCTGGTTACAGTGACGAAGAGAAAAACTATGTGGGAATAAGCAGAACTCCATTGGACTGATTGAATATTGTTTTTGATATGGGTACAACGTAAGGCAGTGCTCAGATCCACTTCGGCTGCTGAAAACAAACAAGTACGGTTTCAACTAGACGATACCAATGTAAAAAAGAACAGTGAGTACCACATGGAATAACCAAGGCCTACACCAGTCACTGGTAATTCTTACTTTTCCTCTAAATCTCGCATGGAACAGCTAAGTACATGTCTGAAAAGAACGATAGTGAGGTGTCATTTAGTAAACCTGCTGTATGAAATAAGATGAAATTAGGCACACCGGTCAGCAGTAGACGGTCTCCCATAATTGTCTAATAGATGCATCGATTAACCGATAGATAAATAGATAGACAGATAGATAGATAGATAGATAGATATTGGATAGAAATACCGATGGATAGATAGATAGATAGATAGATAGATAGATAGATAGATANCTCCCCCCCCCCGCACACACCCCCACACACACACACACACCCTTTTTTGCACCAACCAGTGATGGTTGCACACACACCGAGAGAGAGAGAGAGATTGTAAATCAAGTTATGTTGTGTAAAAGGGTCCGAATAATAATAATCACCGAGTTGTTGATGTATATGAAATGACAGTTTGTAATTTATGATGAAGTGTGATCTGAATCACAGAAGTGCATTGTTTCTGTGTTTCAATACAACTCTCTGGAGGATTTGGGGTGGGGTGGGAAACCTGCCAAAAGCGCGATTAGTTGAAGTGGGGATGGCTAACAACTTTAACGTTGCCCTTTTGGAATGCTTGGGAATTTATGATACACCACAGGACAACTTCCACGGAGTGGCTGTAGTCTCATTTACATGTGAAATCTTACGCATGCCGGTCTCAAATCAATCTCCCACCTTTTATCCCTAAATCTAAATTTATCTAATCCAATGTTTTAGTTGGTCCACCCCCAATGTTCGATGCTCATTGTCGATACACGTTTAAATGTTCCTTTAATCTTTGAAACAGGCACGCCTTACCAAATCCTTTTGAGTAACCAGCCTGCACTTACCGTTAATGGTGGTGGCAGCTCTTTGATTTGCCCCTTGTCCCTTTGTGAGAATCGTATTATTGTGTATTCAACGAAAGGAAGTAAGATCCAAGGAAAGGAATAGCATCACCAAGACCGCCTTTATCAAATATCTTGAAGTTACTTTGCCACATAACCTTTCTTGGTTCATACATTAAGGTTCGTAGATTATCCTTCCGCGCTTTTGGGCCTGAAATGCTCCCTGGAACTTCTTTCTCGTTGAAGTGGCATTTCAAAAATCCGCGTTGGTTGATTTAATTGTGAGCAACCACTTTTGTTCATGCGATCGATTTATCAGCCAAATGCTGTCAAATGAGTAACACTGTCTGCTAGTCCACCTTAATAAATTGATGTCTCATCCGAGTACGCGTTCCATATTTAGAATTCCTTGTGCACGTAACACTTTACTTTACTTTACTGCAGCTGGCTCCTGGGAAGAATAAGCCGCCTCCAGACATGATCATGATCATGACGTTACTTGGGAGAGAGACAGACGTTCCCAGCGACACGCGGCGATTTTTTTCTATTTTGAGGGCGTACCTCTAACCTAGATAGATAGATAGATAGATAGATAGATAGATAGATAGATAGATAGATAGATAGATGGCTGACTTATCTCTTCGTCAGCTTCGGCATGCATCAGAGGTGGTTCGATTAGGAATTCAATTTCATTTAAGGATGTCTTTCCTGACAACAGATCAGTGTTCAAGTGTATCAGATTCCATTTAAAGGGGTCGCTGTCAACATAAGGTATATTGATACCAATTCAACAATACAAATGCAATGCACATCAGAATAAGTAAATATGTGAATACCCATTCTGCACCTTGGATAATACTCACTTTACTTTACTGTAGCTGGCTCCTTGGAAAGGATAAGCCGGCTCCAGACATGATCATGATCATGAAGTTCTTTGGGAGTTTGGTACGAGAGACGTCTTTAGCGTCACGCCACGTTCTATATTTTGAGAGCGCACCTGTAGCCTTTGCATCACCAGATGCGAACTGCAAGGCAGCAGGAAATAAGGCCTCGCCTCGGAAGTGACGGGGTCAATGAATTTAGTTTGAAAAGGCCAGTCACATCGACCTTTGTCATGACACTGTCATTGGGCTTATGCGGCTTTTAAACAGGAGCCAGGTGACCAGCCTGAAACCCGCCACACCTTGGTAGTGCCGCCGCTGTTTGTTCGCGACTGCTTATTTATTGTGGTATGCGACAACTTATTGACAGCTAACGTTCTTCGGTGAAGGTATCCCGCTATTCGCAACCCGAGGACGCGCCTGGAAGTATTCAGCTCTGCTTAACCTGAGGTTATCAAGGATCTTAGACAGTGGAATGTGTGCATCGTTTTACACATTTTCATTCCCTCGATTGTCACTGCATGGAGTTCTTAAGGCAAACCGTGGTTTTCTGAATTCTATCAATATCCGATAAACAGTTAATACTTCTAATCCACAAAGTCCGCTTTACAGACTTAAAAAAAATTCATGATAATTAAGCGTACAAAGCTATCCGTGTTTCAAGGTGATTTAAGAAGAAGCAGTACTAAGCGCAGCTAAGACAAACTGAGGACCGTTTTGATCAGAACGTAGATGGAAACACCTGATACGTCCCTGTGAGCAGCGACTGGTTGAACATAAAGCATAACGAATGAGAGCGTGCAATTGTGCCAGAAGGTGGAAATATCACGCGGCGAGTGCATAAGTCTACTTGTACTACAGAGTGTACACACACGCACGTGTGTGCATATACTCGAACCGGGTTGACGTGAACATGTCAAAGATTGTTAGTGTAGCATGTTATTGGCTCCATCTGCCTGACCTTGTTCCGGATGAACACATTGAGCGCAGTTGTGCACGACACCCTCAAAACCTTGCTTTATCTTGTTTGCCCCGGTAGGTAACAAGCGATATGTTGCCGATTATAATAGTCATCATCATTCATATATTTACAGGTTAAACGAGTGCGTTATTTGTGGTCTCTCAGATATCAGACTGTGAAACGCGTATCTCTTACTTGACATGTACATCAACTCACAACATCCCTCCTTCAATAGTTTGTTTCGTCTCTGAGTTTACGGATTTTTTATTCGATCTGGTGGGGTATAGAAATGCTTAAAAATATGCTGGTTCTACCGAACTTGGAGATGTAAACCAGATCTGCTGTCTAATCTTGAGCCAA